AGTGAGTTAGAGCATTTTTTCATATGGCTATAGATGGTTTTGATTACTTCATCTGAAAACTGTTCATATCTTTTGATCATTTATCAATTGGGGAATGGCTTTTATTTTTATAAATTTGACTCAGTTCACAATATGCTCGAGAAAAGAGGCCTTCATCAGAGGAACTTGCTTTAAGATTTTTTTCAGTTACTATTGCTAACTGTATTTCCCTCCATCCTATTTCCCCCCCTGCCACTTATTCTATTCTCTCCCTCCCTTTACCCTTCTCGCCTCAAAAGTGTTTTGCTTCTGATTACCCCTCCTCCAATCTGCCCTCCCTTCTATCACATGCCCCCTTCTCTTATCCTCTTCCCCTCCTCCTTTACTGTAGGGTAAGAGAGATTTCTATACCCAATTGAGTGTGTGTGTCATTCCTTCTTTGAGCCAATTCTGATGAGAGTAAGATTCACTCACTCCCCTTACCTCCCACCTCTTCCCCTCCACTATAAAAGCTTTAATCTTGCCTATTTTATGTGAGATAATTGATACTATTCTATCTCTCCCTTTCCCTTTCTCCTTGTACATTCCTCTCTCACCCCTTAATTGTTTTTTTAGATATCATCCCTTTATTTTCAACTCAGGCCTGTGCCTTCTGTCTATATATACTCTTTCTAACTGCCATAATAATGAGAAAGTTCTTATGAGTTATAAGTATCGTCTTCCCATGTAGGAATATAAACAGTTTAACCTTATTAAGTCCCTTATGATTTCTCCTTCCTGTTTACCTTTTTATGCTTCTCTTGAGTCTTGTATTTGAAAGTCAAATTTTCTATTCAGCTCTGGTCTTTTCATCAAGAATGCTTGAAAGTCCTCTACTTCATTAAATAGCCATTTTTCCCCGTGAAGGATTATACTCAGTTTTGCTGGGTAGGTGATTCTTGGCTGTAATCATATCTCCTTGACCTCCAGAATATTATATTCCAAGCCTTCTGATCCTTTAATGTAGAAGCTGTTAAATCTTGTGTTATCCTGACTGTGGCTCCATGATATTTGAATTGTTTCTTTCTAGCTGCTTGCAATATTTTCTCCTTGACCTGGGAGCTCTGGAATTTGACTATTAATATTCCTGGAAATTTTCATTTTGGGATCTCTTTCAGGAAGTGATTGGTGGATTCTTTCAATTTCCACTTTGCCCTCTGGTTCTAGAGTATCAGAGCAGTTTTCCTTGATAATTTCTTTCTTTTTTTTTTTTTGGTTCCTTGATAATTTCTTGAAAGATGATGTCTAGGCTGTGTTTTTTTGATCATGGCTTTTAGATAGTCCAATAATTTTTAAATTATCTCACCTGGATCTATTTTCCAAGCCAGTTGTTTTTCCAATGAGATATTTCACATTGTCTTCTATTTTTTCACTTTTGGTTTTGTTTTATTGTTAAACAACTTCTCATGAAGTTGTTTAGCTTCCATTTGCTCAATTCTAATTTTTAAGGAATTATTTTCTTCAGCAAAGTTTTGTCCCTCTTTTTCCATTTGGCTAATTCTGCTTTTTAAGGCATTCTTCTCCTCATTGGCTTTTTGGACCTCTTTTACCATTTGGACTAGTCTGTTTTTAAGGTGTTATTTTCTTCAGTAATTTTTTGTGTCTCTTTTATCAAGCAGTTGACTCCTTTTTCATGATTTTCTCGCATCACTCTCATTTCTCTTCCCTCTTCCCAATCTTTCCTCTACTTCTCTCACTTGATTTTCAAAATCCTTTTTGAGCTCTTCCATGGCCTGAGACCAATTCATATTTTTCTTGGAAGCTTTAGATGTAGGAGCTTTGACTTTGTTATCTTCTTCTGAGTGTGTGTTTTAATTTTCCTTGTCACCATAGTAACTTTCTACGGTCAGAATTTTTTTCTGTCGTTTGCTCATTTTCCCAGCTTATTTCTTGATTTTTAAATCTTTGTTAAGTAGGGCTCTCCTTCTAGGGTGGTGGGTGTACTGTCCAAAGCTTCAGGGGTTGTGCAGCTGTTTTCATTTTTTTTCTTTTTATTTTATTTTGTAGGCAATTGGGGTTAAGTGACTTGCCCAGGGTCATACAGCTAGTGAGTGTCAAGTGTTTGGTCTGAGGCCGGATTTGAACTCAGGTCCTCCTGACTTCAGGGCTGGTGCTCTATCCACTGCACCACCTAGCTGCCCCTGTGTGCAGCTGTTTTCAGAGATGCTTCTAGGGACCTGTAAGTTTTCAGTTCTTCCAAGGCAAGCATGATTTAAGGAGAGGTACCTACTCCTCTCCTGGCCTGTGAGTGACCCCAAGCACTCTTTTCTGCCCTGAACTGTGACGAGGGTCCCCCATTCCACTGTGACCTCAAGCTCTGGTGTGCTAGCGCTTTTCCTCACCCTGGGACTGCCACCTAGGACTGCGACCCAGATCTGAGTAGGGGCAAAGCGACAGAGTCCTGCCTCAGTGCCAGCCAAGAGAGCTCTGTAATCTCCTTCTGACCCGTTGTTTGATCCCCTGACCACCTGTGGGCAGAGAGCTCCAGAAGCAGCAGCCACCACCGCCACTGCTGACTCAGTGGCTCCCAACGACCGCCCCTGCTCTGCTGGGGCCTGCACTGGAATGTGCTCCCCTCTCACCCTGGTGCGACACCCCTTTCCTGCCAACCTTCTGAGTCATCTTTGGCTGGAAAATCGTTTCACCTGTCCTTCTGTGGATTCTGCTGCTCCCGGAATTGTTTTATGGCAGTCTTTAAAGGTGCTTGGAGGGGTTTTGGGGAGGCTCAGGCAAGTCGCTGCCTTTTCTCCGCCATCTCGGCTCCAGCCTGGGACTCAGACTTTAGGGAAATCATTTCGGTGCCAGTGTAAAGTGCTGGAGTCAGACTTTGATAGAACCATCTTGCCAATCACATCCTGATTTGTTGGTGTTGTTCAGCCCTGTCCAACTCTCCATGACCCCATTTGGGGTTTTCTTGGCAAAGATCCTGGAGTGGTGCGCCATTTCCTTCTCCAGCTTATTTTACAGATGAGGAAACTGAGGCAAACAGGGTGAAGTGACTTGCCTAAGGTCACACAGAATAGTAAGTGTCTGAGGCTGGATTTGAACTCAGGTCTTCCTGACCCTAGGCCTCGCACTCTCTCCACTGCACCACCCAGCTGCCCACATATTGACTTAGAAAACCACATATTGACCTTTTCCATATTTTATGGTATTTTAATTTATTTTATTAAATATTTCCTAATTACATTTTAATCTAGATTGGGCTGCACCTGGGAGTACTGTGGGCCCAATTCCAGCAGTGAATTTGAGGCCTCTGGTGTAGAGGACAGATTGGAGTGGGCAAAGACATCAATGAAAGCCTCTGGGCAGAAATCACCCATCCTCTGATGGGCTCAAAACCCTGCCTAGAGCTACCAAGAGAGGGCAGGCTGCCTGAATCCAGAGGAGTGCGCATAGGGCTCTGACCACTGTGGACTGGGCTCTCCAATATGGCAACCCAAATCCAAGAGAGAAGGATGGAACAGAAAGACAAAGAGGTGATGCCTGAGGGAATTAAGGCATCCCTGTGGACTCAGAGGTAATTAGTCAATCCTTATTTTACAAAGGAGGAAACTGAGGGCCTGAGTGCCCAAGTGAATTGAATTCACTTTGTCAGGCCCCTATTAAGCACTGTGCTCCAGGCTGGAAGAGGAAAGAAGGAAGGACAGAAGGAAGGGAGGCAGGGAGGGAGGAAGAGAAAGAAGGGAAAGAAAGAAAGGGAGAGAGAACTAGAGACAGAGAGAAAGGAAGGAAGGAAGGAAAGAGGGAAGAGGGAAGGAGAGAGAAAGAAAGGAAGGGAGAGAGAAAAAGGGAGGGAATGAGAGAGGAAGGAAGGAAGGAAAGAAGGAAAGAAAGAAAGGAAGGAAGGAAGAAAGAAGAAAGGAAAGAAGGAAGAAAAAAGGGAGGGAGGGAGAGAGAGAAAGGAAGGAAGGAAGCAAGGGAGGGACAAAAAGAAAGGAAAGAAAAATGAAAGAAAGCTGCTACCCTTAAGGAATTAGCATTCTACAAAGGGGAAATGTAACATATTTACAGACAAGTAAATGCACTACATAGGAAATAAATACAAAATAATTGGGGTGAGGTTGAAGAACTAACGTGTGAAGGAGTTTAGGAAGCCCTCCTGCAGGAGGTGTCCTTAAGCTGACTCCTGGAAGGCGCTGGGGACTCCAAGAAGAGGGAGAGCATTGTACAGACAGTGGAGAGCCTGGCTGATAAGGCTGAAGATGGAAAATGAAAGGGACTCTCCAGGGAACAGGAAAAAGGCCTGTCTGTGCCTGGCATTGCGTTCATGAGGGAGACTGACATATAATCTGCCTGAAAAGACGCTGGATTGTAAAAGGGTTTAAATGACAAATAGACGAGCCTGTATTTGAACCTAGAGGCCACAAGAAACCACTGAAGCGTCTTGAAATTTTATTAAGTGCCTACTATGTGCCTGGCACTGTGGGATACAAAACAAAGGCAATCAGGGGACACATGTTCCCCTGAGTGGAAGGGGTAACACGTCACTGGGAAGCTGGGTGGTGCAGTGGATAGAGCACCAGCCCTGGAGTCAGGAAGACCTGAGTTCAAATCCGGCCTCAGACACTTACTAGCTGTGTGACCCTGGACAAGCCACCTAACCTTTGTTTGCCTTAATCCCCTGCAGAAGGAAATAGCAAACCACTCCTGTATCTTTGCCAAGAAAACCCCAAATGGGGTCATGAAGAGACTGAAAAATAACTGAAATACAATCATATAACAGCTGGCACTTACCTAGCTGGAGTGGGAGGAGGGTCCCTGGGATCCATGAAGGCATCAGAGAAGTTCTGGGCACCTTCTAGCAAGAGCTGGGGTCCAGGGCTCAGGTCTGACCCCACCCACCCCTCAGTGGGCAGATCTGGAGGCATGGCTTCTCCAGTGAGAGACCCTGCTCCCAATCCCTCCATCACAAATCAAGTCCAGAGAGATGGGTAGATGATGAAGTCAGACCCTGGCACCAGGGGGAATGCGGTACCTACCTTTCCACTGGCCTCTTCTGAGGAGATGAGGAAGAGGAAGAGAAAGACGGGGAGGAGACGGTGGAGGAAGACCCAGACTCAGAAGAGTCTCTCCTGGAAGAATTGGACAATTTGGGGTGAGGCGCTTTATAGGGTGATACCAGCGTCAGACTGTGTGGGAAGATTGCTGTCTCCAGAGTAAGAGGGCCTGGGTTCATGTCTTGCCTGGGTGCTTATGAATCATAAGTCTCATGAGACCTTGGGCAAATTCCATGCCCTTTGGGCTCTATTTTCCTCATACGTAAATGAGGGGGGTGGGCTGGACTATAAGACCTCCATGGCCTCTTCCACTTCTGGAATCACAAGGATCTCTCCTGAAAGAACAGAATAGTTTGGGATGATACCAGCACCAGGCCCTGGATTCAAATTCCACCTCTGTCACTTACTACTTTGAGTGAACCTTTGTGGGCCTCAGTTTCCACAGCTGTCAAATGAGGGGATTGGACGAAATTACCTCTGTGGTCTCTTTTGGGAGAAGTCCCCAAAGGAAAGCCAGAGAGAGGCCTTAAATGAGGCTGTGCTGGGAGTAGTCTGTGGCCCAATAAAATGGGGCTATCTGAGGGCTGAAGGGCACATGGTAAGTGCTTGCTGAATTGAATTAATGCTCTGGTGATGGATGAGTGAATGAATAATGGCCTAAAGATGCTACTAGAGCAACATTATGGAGGGGAATCCACCCACATGGCAAAGGGGGCATTCGTGATTGCATAAACTCTGGTCTGTTTGTTAAACAACCAATTAATTATCTTATTATCCCTAAGAGAGGTAGTGTGTGTAGTGGATAGAGCGCTAATCTTGAAGCCAAGAGGACCTGGGTTCAAGACATCGTGGCTGTAGGACCCTGGACAAGTCATGTATCCTCTGTTATACCAGCCCCAAATGGGGTCTTGACCCACAGTTTAAGAAGTGCTGAAGAGGTTGTGAGTGGAAAAAAATTTACGAAGGCCCTGCTCTAGACAACCATTTAATACTATAAAGTTGTAGGGAAGGCACTAAGCTTTGTTGGTAGGGGAGTTCCTCACCTGAGACCTCCCCATCTATCCATGAATCACAGGTCTGGTCCCTATCCATAAGACCCTATCCTCTTAAATCCTAGGAGAGGTGTGGTATGTGCCATTCACCTGAAGCCGGTGTGACCAGGACAAGATTTGTACATAAGTGGGTGGCGGCTCTGAGAAATAATAATGGCAAAAACTCCTAACAAGTCAATGAATCAGGGAGTGTAGGTGTTAGATTATCTGACTTTGCAGTGGAGGACCTGAGGTACAAAGAAGTCACAAAGGTAGAAGAAGCTAGAACTCAAATACAGGTCTCCCACTTCCAAATCTAATAGGGTTCTCCCCATACCATGCTGGTCCAGCATGGACAGTGATAGGACACAAATATGGTCTAGATAAAACCAAAGCGAAAATCAAAACAGAAAAAGAAAACTATGGACCAATACTGAAACTGATTGGGGGGGGGGCAAGGACCAAAAGGGGGGTCCCAATCAAATTACTGAGATTCACAAATAGTGGTCTCCTTATCCCCTTCCTGGCAACATACCTGTCCTTGGGGTCTTCCCTTGGGCTTTTGCTCTGTGGGGAAAAAGCCCCCAGTGGTTTCCAGTCAGAAAGGTCAACATCTTGCTCTTTCTTCTTCTCTTTTTCTCTTTCCATTGATTTCTCCTTTTTGGGGGTCTCAGGGGCATCTGGAAGGAAACAGACTGTGCTATCACCTAGGTATAATCCCTGGGTGTGTCTTAAACATCCCTCTTCACAGGAGGCACTTGATAAATGTTCACTGAGTGAATTCAGTCCCTCAGTTTCCCTACCTGGGAAATAGGAATGGGGATGTAAGACAGCCAGGAGAAATCAGACCTAGCTACACATGGGACCGCTCAGCAGACAGGTAGCGCCCCCTAGTGGTCACCATGGCTGGATGAGTTTAGAGCCCCCAAGCTCATGGGGCTGATTCCAGGTCAATGAGGGTGCCTCAAAACTGGCCTGGGTAGTGGGGTGAAGTGGGGAAACTGCCTGGCACAAGCAGCGGTTATCCTGGCTGAAGTTAGAGGCCTCGTGTGGGCTGGAGACGAGCAGAGACATCTGAGATTCCTAAGGACCGGAGTGTTGGAGGGTGTGGAGACAGTGAGAGGAGAATTTCAAAGCCCCATCTAATTAGAAGGGGATAAATAAATTAACACCGATCCTGGCACTTAAAAAATCATACAAGAGCTTATCTGATTTTACAGCCTAGAAACACACCTATTCCTTTCCAATGCAGTAGCCAAAGGCAAGAGATTCAGAAAATCTCAGTTGGATCCACTGTGCCTCAGTTTCCTCATCAGTCAAATGAACGGGTTGCGATAGAGGACCGCTGAGGCCCCTTCTGGCTGTAAATCTATGGTTCTGGGATGTCAGAGGTCATTGGCCTCTGTTTGAAGCTCTCCAGGATAAGATGGAGAGTCCAGGGCAAGAGTGTAACAGACCATAAGGCAGGTTAGCAAGATGGATCCTGTTCTCAGGGAGGGTAAAAGAGAGTTGTTCAGAGCAGATGTCTCATGGGGAAGCAGTTAATTGGCTCAGAGGACAGGAAAACCTGGGTTCAAATCTAACCTCAGACACTTAGGAGCTTTGTGACCCCAGGCAAGATCCTCATCTGTAAAATGGGAATGATGGCACCTACAGCCCATGGTTGTCTTGAGAATCAGATGAGATATTTGGAAAGTCCTTTTGCAAACTTTAAAGTACTCTATAAATTCTAGCTATTATTATTATATGCCAGAAGAAGTCAAGCTAGCTCACGTAAGAACTGTGGACATCAGTCAGGAGAGGAAAAGAAGAGAGGTCATCTTGGGGAGGAAACAGATAGAAAAAGTGGTATAGGAAGGAAAGAGAGAAACAAGTATTTATTAAAAGCCTACTGTGCACCAGGCACTGTGCTAAGGAAAGGAGGAAACAAGCATTTATTAAGAGCCTACTGTATGCCAGGCACTGTTCTAGTCAACAACTGAGGAGGTTGGAGCAGATTCCCTGTGTTAAGGGGGGGCATGTTAGCAGGCCAGGGGCAAAGCCTGGGTCTAAAGAGGGTACCCTGGGCAGGGCTGGCGAGGCTGGATAGGCAGGGACCACCTGGGCCCCCAAGCCTAATGGGAGGGGTCTGCCCTCTCTCCATGCTATAATTAATCCTCAACTGGAGATCACAAAGGGAGGGTTAACAGCTGTCTTGACTAATCCAAACCTTCATCTCCACCAGTCAAAATCCTTCAAGGCCTACTTCTCCTGCCAACCCTCCAGGAAGCTTTCCTTGATTCTGATCCCCCCTCAAACACACACACACACACACACACACACACACACACACACACACACACACTCACACGCGCACACACACACATCAAATTTCCTAGGGTAGCTTGTCTGAATTTTTCCTTTGCTCCTGTCACACCAGTAAAAATAATAGCTAGCTATATAGCACTTTAAGTTTGGCAAAGGACTTTACATATTATCTCATTTGACCCTCAAGACAACCTTGTAAAGTATATCATTACCATTTTATAGATAAGGAAACTGAGGCTGACTTGCCCAGGGTAGCACAGATAGGAAGTCTCTGAGTTAGGGCTGAAACTCTTCAGAACCCTGCAGCTGTCTGCATGCCCCCATACTCCCTCCCATGCTCAGGACAGCACCTGTTTTGTTTTCCATCTTTGTGGGCCTAACCCTTAGCATTGTCGGCCCTTTGTCCGGGCCTCCCTGCCTCCCTAACCTGTTACTGGAGCTATTTCAAAGCAGTCACACTGACATATGGGGATTTTCTCTCTGTCCCAATAGCCTAAACTCTCTTGTACTAATAAACAAGGAAATAATTCAAGTAGGGATTACTAGGAGGAGGAAAACCAGGAGGACCAGAGAGAGCCAGGCACAGATTAAGCTAAGAGCAGGAAGGGCCCTCCCCTCCCTGGCCAGGGCCTGTAAGTTGGAGGGACCCCTGCAGCTCCACCTTGTATCACAAACTGCCTTGGAAATAATGACTCAGGGGGAGGCTGGGAAGGTCACTTAAGGGTGTGTTGCCACAGGGCGCCATCTGCTCTTAATTTTCTCCTGGACTGAAATCCATTACAGGACAACAAAAAGCCTGGACCTAAGAGGCAGGAAGCCCTTGTGACCTCTGGCAAATCATGTCATCTCAGTGAGATTCAAGTTTTCTTTTCTTCGAACCTTAGTTTTCTCCATCTTTAAAATGGGGATAAATATAACTCCCATTACTTCTCTCACCAGGCTGTTGTGAGGACAATGCCATAAAAATGTTAATGTTTTAGCTGTCCACAAAGTAGGTACCCAGATCATGAATCATCTGTCTGTTGTGTCTTCTGTGGAACCTGGAAAACCTTGCCCTGTATGCTGAGGGACCCCAGAGAGCCAGAACTAGGGATATTTTCACTTGAGTAAAAAAAAAAAATTGTGTGTGTGTGTGTGTGTGTGTGTGTGTGTGTGTATACAGACATACATAATATATATATATGTATTATATATACATATATATATATATATATATATATTTAGAGAGAAAGAAAGAGAGGCAAGGAGGGGTATTAGGTAGGTGAGCAGAGGATATGTGAGTATGAGTATATTTGAGGTGGAAGACTGGACAGTTTGGGCCCCCTCCCCTCAAGCCTGGAGGCGGCCTGTGCTCAGGACAAGGTGGGAGACAGAGGTTACTGTGTGGTCCAGTGTGTATGTGTTATATAGCTTACACCCCCCCCCCCCAGCACCCTGAGGCACAAGCCCAGCTAGGGGCCACAGTGGATAGAGCTCTGGGCCTGGAGTCAAGAAGACCTTAGTTTAAATCCAGCCTCAGACACTTACTAGCTGTGTGACCCTGGGCACTTCACCCTGTTTGCCTCAGTTTCCTCATCTGTAAAATGAGCTGGAGAAGGAAATGGCAAACCACTCCGGTATCTTTACCAAGAAAACACCAAATGAGGTCACAAAGAGTCAAGACATAACTGAAAAATGACTGAACGACAACAAATTATGGTTCTTGGTGTGTGATATGTGCACATATGTTGTACAATGCATGCATGGATTTCAACCTCAATGCGCCTGACTGGTTAGTACTCGGATGGGAAACCAATATGGAATACAGATGCTGAAGGTGGGGTTTTTGTTGTTTTCTGAGAGGCACCATAGCATAATGGATAAAACAACATTAATAGCTAGCATTTATATAGTGCTTTACAAATATAATCCTCACAACAACCCTCTAAGGTATATTATCCCCATTTTACAGATGAGGGAACTGAGGCAGGCAAAGGTTAAGTGACTTGCCCAGTGACACACAGAAAGTGTCTGAGGCCACATTCAAACTCAGCTCCTCCTGACTCCAGGCCTGGCACTCTAACCACTGCACCATCTAGCTGCCCATGTGTGTATGTACGTGGCTGAAACAGGGAAGTAATACCAACTTTTGGACCAATAAAATAAATAAATAAAATCGATCTCCCTGCTCCCAAGTCTCAGTGGCCTCTTCAAAGGACCGCTTAAAAGACTGAGGCATAGGGCCCTAACCCTGCCAGGGACTGAGGGATTCTGACCCCAGGAGATGGTGGGTGCACCGAGGGCTTCTCTCACCTAGGAGCCGTTTCCAGTTCTTGATGAGAACTTTGGCCAACGCCACCACCTCCTTATCCACGCAGTGCTTACGGACCCCGTTGACGGCAATCCCAATCCTGGTGGTCTGGAAGAAGAAAGAGATTCAGGACTAGACTCCAGTCTCCATCCCGGCCCTCCTTGGGGTGAGGCTGGGGCATGTGTTTGACAAAGGATGCTCAGTGAGGCTGGAGAAGATATATTCACATTAATAGCTGCTCGATCTGTCCAATACCCATCTCCCAGGCGTGAACACTGATGAAAGCTCTGACCCCCAACACTAACCAATAACTGAGATGTTGGACCTTAATTTCCCATCTCCAAGCCTTTGCACAGGCCGTTCCCACCGTGCCTGGAATGCACTCCCTCCTTACTAGAAGAATCCTAATTTTCTTCAAATCTGGTGCTGGGGGCTACTTCCTACATGAACCCTCCTAGATCTCCTCAGCCACTAGCGCTCCCATCCCTCTAAATTTACCTTATATCTACACAGGTTCTCAGTAGAATGTAAGCTTCTTGAGGTCAGGAGCCTACATTCCCCTGGGAAAAATAACAGGAATTTTTTTTTTTTGCTTTGCATCTCTAGCACTCAGCACAAGGCCTGCCACATATTAAGTGATGAGCATTGATGGAAGGCCTGAGCCCTCAACAGTGACCAGCATTAACCAAGGCTTGAGGCTCTGCTGTCATCCACAGGACAGAACTGAGAGTAAGAACAATGCCCTTTTAGAAATACCGTCCTGGGGCCAAAGACTTGGCCTGAGAAGGAGGGCTGAGGACAAAGGGGCTTCCCTGGCAAAGTCAGGCCCCACACAATGTGGGGCCAGACTGGGGAAGGAGAGCGAGCATTGTAAAAAAAAAAAACAAAAAATGCAGCCTCTGACCTCTCCTGGAAGGGAGCCTGACCAGGGAGTGCCTCGTTCTGATGCTAATTTATTTCCCTAGGGACTAGGTTCCCAGGATCCCACCCACAGAGTTTCTCAACATAGAGAGGGTGCTCAGGCTCCCTGCTATAGGGGCGGCACCCTCACCCAGATTCTCTCTTTTAGGATCCAACAAATAGAATGCATCATGGAGATCACCTTCCCCCTTCTCTCCTCTACATGGCCCTTTCTACCCAGGCTCTCTATTGTAGGGGCCCCCAAACATGAGATATCCTCCCTCAGGACCTTTGCTGCAGGGCCCCTCTCTTCTTGCAGGGTCTTCCTCCCCAGGATCTCTCCTGCTGCCCCCACCCCCACCCCTTCCTGGCTCTGTCCCAAAGGGCTTCTCATGCAGGGCCCCAAACGTGATCTATGTTACAGCTCTCCTTCCCCCGCCCCATTCTTTTTCTTTTGAAAGGTCCCTCCTTCTCCCAGGCTCTCTCCTTGCAGGGCCTCCCAAACCAGGTTCTAGGCCTGTCAAAAACTTCCCACCTGCAGTAACTGGATTGACATCTTGTAGCCACTCAGTTTCTTCAGGAGATCCAGGGCTCCTTCCTGAAGGAGAGCACCGAGTCAGTATTATGTACCCTGACCCCAGCTGAATTTCAAATGACACCTGATACAGGTAGGGTAAGTGGAGGGTGCCTCAGTTTCCCCACCTGTAATAATACGCCCCATTTCAATAACATTTCTTTGCAACAACCTAGTGAGGTGGTTAGGGTAAATGTAATTCCCATTTTACAGGTGAGAAAGCTGAGGCTCAAAGCTGTGGAACATATCCTGGATTAACAAAGCTAGTGATTTTTCAAGGGTCAGATCCTTAACTGTTGCCTCCAGACTCCCAAATCTTATATTCTCCCATCTAACCTCATTGCTCCTCTCGAATGAAGGGGTTGGATTAGACAGTCTCTGAAGAGAAAAGGGTACAGGGGAGCAGCGACATGATAGCTGTCTCCAAGCATCGGAAAGGATATCAAATGCCCGGAGTACAAATCCTGCTTCTAATTCAGGATCAGACCTGTACGACCTTGAGTTTGGGCCTGGTTCCTGATCTGGCAAAGATGGCGGCTGTACTAGATGGTTCCTAAGGGCTCCATCTCAGCTTCAGATCTGTGGTGCTGTGTGTGGAGCTGGGACCAGATGTGTTCTCCCCACAAAGGTCAGAACCAGCAGCAATGCATGGGAAAGGCAAAGGGACAGACTTCGGCTGGAAGTCAGGGAAAACTCTCCAAAAGGAGAGCTCCCCAAGGAGTGAAATGAGGGCTTCAACAGTGGAGTGAGGATGCCTTTTCAGGTCTAAGTTGAATTTGATGGGTTCTACCTCAAGAAATCCCTCCCAAGGTTATTTTATACATCTCTTATCACTGAGGCACAAGAGGCCTGCCTCCTCACACCCCAGGAAGGAAAGTCATCTATAGCCTCAGCTAAGCTTGAACCACAGATCCCAGCCCCAAGTATAGCTTTCTTTTTCTTTTTTTTCCCCCAGAAAACACAGGTCTGCCAACCAAAACATTCCTGCTGGGTTCCTTGGAAATTACTGTAAGGAGTCTCTCAAGGGGCCTCTATCCATTTTCAGTGACTATCATTAAATACAAGGTCTTAAAAGGAACGTAGAACATGTAATAATTACAGTAGAAAAGAACCTTGGACCATAGAATGTCGGGGCTGAGGGGTTTTAGAACACAGAATGTCAGGGCTAAGCTGAAGACACACAGCATGATTTTAGGGCCTAACATGTCAGAGCTGGGAGGAGTCTCAATTTCACGTATAAGATAAAAATTCTGGACTAAAATGATCTGTCTCTCCCGATTCTAAAGCCGCTAATTCTAGGACCTTGAAGATTATCCAGTCCAGGCCCCTCATTCTCCGTGTGTATCTGTCCCATGTGATTTGTGCACATGAATGTGCATGATTGCTTCAATTCATATATGTAGCTGGATTTCTGTGTGTAGGTGACCCAGTAAATTAGCAAGTTTATTAAGCAACCATACTAAGTCCAGATCCCTTAGGTACTAAGGGAGATACAAAGTTTAGATGAGACATAATCCATGCCTTCCAAGAGCTGGGGGGGGGGAGATTCACAAACAGATTAAATCTGTGTTATTATTAGTAGAGAAAACTCCCTCCACCGATACAGGTTAACATCATCTCTACAACTCATAGAGTTGACTAAAGGAAGTAAAATGACTCGTCCAAGGTCACCTCAGCCAGTATCAGAAGACTCAAACCTAGGTCTTCCTAACTTCAAAGCTATCTGCTTCCCCTGCTAAAAACCAGTATGTGATGAATACAACTGAGAGGTGTTTTGAAAGTGGGAAGTGGGAAAAGGTGAAGAGGGGAACAAGGCAGACTTGGTGAAGAAAGGGGTACGAATTAGGTTAATTCAATAGGAACATGGTTGGGGAGTGTGTGTGTGTGTGTGTGTGTGTGTGTGTGTGTGTGAGAGAGAGAGAGAGAGAGAGAGAGAGAAGGCCTTGCATCTATCTACATTTCTTGATGCTTATAGGCTAAGCTAAGGCAGTAATGTACCAAGCAGCAACATCCGAATTTTACTCTGGAGCAGTATTTAGCCAGTAAAGACTTTTGGTTAGAAAAACAGCATAGCCAAATCTATGAATCAGGAAGATAATGTCTGACAGTGGTATAGGGGATATCTGGGAGGAGGGAAGACCTGGCTCCATGTCAAACATTTTCTTCTCTAACGTCAACCTGACGGTAAAAAGACCACAAGTCAGACATGGACTGATGAGTGGAAAAGTAAAGTCTGGGCAATTTCGTGACTGCTGAATTGGCCAGCCCTTTGGAGGGACCAGACCCAGAAGCCATGGCCAAGGTAAACGTAAGTTTATAATGAGACTGATTGAGTCCTGCAGACTGTATAAAGCCTGCATTGTGCATGGAACACCAATTGGGATTTTCCTAGCACCTCACCCTGTTTGGGGGACTGAGATGCTTTCATACGAAAATACCTCCTTTGGGGACCAAATCCTTGACCAGTTACTTCTCACTGTGACTGCAGGGTATAGAGGAAACTTCTGGGCCTCCTCAATTAAAAGCTGGGAAATAACCAGAGATTTTAAACCACACTCATTAGCTGGCCATGTTGCAACTCCAAGAATTCGGGGCTGAGTCAGAATCACAATCAGAAGTCACTTCTGAGCCTCAATTTCTTCCCCTGTGAAGTGAAAATAATACCTGTATTGTCTACCCTCACAGGAGTTATTGTGACTCTAATGAGTTCAGATATGTGCTACATCAATGTCAGTTAATAATTATTATTCCATTGCACTGACCCGGATCATGTGACACTTTCTTACCCAGGACTTTGCTCCATCCCCCTCCCCCCATTTCATGTTTTATTCAATTCAATAGCTACAGTGTTTAAGGTAAACAATGGCTAGGGGGTCCTGGAGATTTAGCTTCAAGCCCAACTCTAACACAGGCTGGGCAGCAGTGACTGAGAGCCTTTAAGCTCAGATTGTACATTACAAAGGAGTTGTGCAACTGCATTAGTGAATGGGGTTTCCACATAGGGATTTCTCCAAACAATTTCTCCACTGGCCTCAAGAGCACACTCCCCCTTCCAAAAAACCCTCACTATGTATATGTCTATATAGGTGTGTGTTTACATATGCGTTAAGTCACTATCAGATTCTAGAAGTACAAAAAGTCTCAGTTCTCAAGGTACTTAATTCTAGTAGGAAATATGGCCTATAGGGAAGTAAATACAAGGTAATTTAAGGAAGGGCTGAGCAATCACACCTGAGGATATCAGGAAAAGCTTCAAATGACCTTGGGCTTTGAAAAAAGAGGCTCCAGAAAGGCAGATGGACCAGGGAGCGCATCCCAGGCCTGTAATGATGTGAAAAAAACTGCTTCTTTTGGCTAGCAGAGAGAGCATGACTGGTAGTACAGTGAAATAAAGGTGGGGAGGCATTATTCTTACAGACCAACTAGTTCAACACCACCACCACCACCCATTTTAGAGAGAAGGAAACTGAGGCCTGGGAAAGTGACCTATAATAAAAGGCAAGAAATCCAACAGTCTTTCCAGGGCATAAGATGCCTCCCATGAGACAGAGCCACCTCTGTGGAGGGCCTTTAAATGTCCACTGAAAGAGAGCATTTTCAACAGGGCGGTGGGTGAGAAGCCAGGCTGCAAAGAGAAAAGCCAAGGGGTGATGAGAAGGCAGAGGCAGCCAGTGTAGACACACTTTTCTAGGCGTCTGGCAGCGTCAGGGAAGACAGAAAAGGATCTGGCATTCAGAACTGCCCTAAATGGAGACATCCTTCCAACTCAGATTTCCTTGCTTTACTGAGTGAGTGCTGTAAACGAGCCGGGTGAAAACGCGGGCTCGCGCTAGGATGCGATGGATGGGGGGAGATGTGTACGTGTGTGTATGTGAGTGTCTGCGTACGCATGTTCTGCAAACAGCCTACTTGGAGCCGGAGCTGCAACGTGGTAGAACTTCTGTCTTATTACTATGGGAAACTTTACCCCTCCTTCCTCTTTCCAGCCACCAGAGCAGACCCCACCCTCTGTGCTGGAAGCCTGAGTGGGTGCTGACACGTAGAGGGAAGGAGGCGAGGCTAAAGATACCCAACCCCTCCTGGGCTCCCTCATTCCCCAGCCCCTCCCAGGACCCCGAAGAAATTGACAAAGAGGGAGTTCCCGCCTTGGCCGAGCTTCCCAGAGCTTCCTGCCTGTTGCCAAGTGAGATCCCACCCCCTTCCCCAAAAGAAAAGGGTGGGACGCCAGGGCCCCCGACCAAGGGACCTCTCTACTCAGTTCCACCTCGCCCCTGCTGGGGCCTCGGGGAGCCCCCAGCTCGGCCCCCGGCCCGCTCCGGCCCCGGCCAAGTTTGTTTTGGCTGTCTGAGCCGAGGCAAAGAGCAGATGGAAAGTCAAACATTAACTCCCAGCTGGGCCGCAGCTCAGCTCCCGCTCTGTCTGGCTCCAAATTTGGGAGGGGAGAGGGGAAAAGAAAGGGAGTGTGTGTGTGTGTGTGCGCGCGCGCCGGTTGGAGGTGGGGGAAGGGCCAGGCTCACTTCCCCTAAAGGAATCTCAGTCTCCCCTTTCCCTCGGCAACCCGCTCCCCCCAGCCCCTCCCCCAGCCCGGGTCGCTCCGCACCCCTCCCCCCAGGGATAGAAACTTTCTTCCTGCTTCCCCGCGCCTGCTCCAGCCTCTCTGGCGGGCGGCTTGGAGCCGTTTGGCCCCGCGCCCAGCCCAGCCGGGCCTCCCCCTCACCCCTCCCCACCACCCCCAGCTAGGACGGGGGCTGGGGCCCCGATCAAGCAAGCTATATCTGCCCAGCACCTGTTCTGCCCTTCCCCATCCCCCCAGCCCGAACTATGGCCCCCGGCCCAGGGCCCCACCCGGGGCCAGAGCCAAGGGCTAGTTTCGGAGAGCAGCCCGAAGGCCCCCTTCCCCCACTCCCCCTAGTGCCTTCCCGCCGCACCTCCCCTTCTCCTTCCCCCTCCTCCCATCCCGATCCGATCCAAACCAACAAATATTTATTAAGCGCCTACTACACATGCCAGGCCCTGAGCTGCAGGCTGGGGGCTGGGGAGGGTGGGTAACAAAAGCGAAACAAAGTCCTTGCCCTCCGGGGGCTTCCATTCTGCTTCGCGCGCGCCCTTTCTCCCGCCCAAGCCTCCTCCTCCTCCTCCCCCGCGGTCCCTTCTTTGGTCTTCCCGCGCCTCCACTCCCGGGGCCGCCCCCCCCATCCCCAGCCCGCCACGAGGGCAGGAAAAGTTTCCGAAGGAAGCCCGCGGCCCCCTCCCCAGCGCCCGGGAAGGCGCGGGGCCCGCCCGAGGGCTGGGAAAGTTTGCGAGCGCGCGGGTCCCGGGCGGCGGGGAGGGGCGGGGTCCGGGGGTCCCGGGGCCGGCGGCGTGGCGGGGCCGGGGGCTGCGTGCAGCGCGGCGCAGGGCATGGCAGGGCAGGGCAGGGCAGAGGAAACAGGGTCTCTGCGCTGCTCCGCTCTGCTCTGCCCGGCGCCGCTCTCCTCCTCCTCCTCCTCCTCCTCCTCCTCCTCCTCTTCCTCCTCCTCCTCCTCCTCGCGGCGCTCCCGCGCCGGCTCCGCTCTTCTCGCTCCCGGGCGGCCTCACGTCGGGGCGCCTCCGGGGCTCCGGCGCTCGCGCTCTCGCTCTCCTGCTCCGAGCCGGGGCCCTGGGGGCGGGCGGGGCTGGGGGGCTGCTCCCCGCCTAACCCAGCCAGAGCTCACCGTGTTCTTCCTGGACACCATTTTATCCAGTTTCTTGGCGATTCTCAGCAGCTCCTCTTCCTGCCCCATGCTGGCGGCGTGTCCCCAGGCTCGCGGGGGCCGGGGAGAGGACTACGATGCGGCCCGGGCCCGGCCAGGGGGTCCTCTGCCTCCGTCGGGCTCCCAGGTGGTGGCCAAGGCTGACAGCTCAGCACCGACACCCAGCAAGGGGGGCGGGGCGAGGGCGGGGCTCCCCGGGCCCATTGGGCTGCCCCGCAGCCGCCGCGGCCCCGGCCCGCCCCCCGGCCTCCGCGAGGAGAGGCTAATTATAGGCTTCAAGGACTAAGGAGGGCAAAGATTGCAGCCTGCCCGGCTGGCCGCGCGGGAGGGGCGGGGAGCAGCCCCGCGCAGACCTTGCCCCGCGCCCCTTCTAGGAAGGTGGGGAGTCGGGGCGGGGGCCGGGGGCTTCGGGCTGGGGAGGAGCCCAGGGTCGCAGACTTGGGGCTGGAAGGAGCCCAGGAGAAAGAGCGTCTGTCCCGAGGTCCATGGCTGCAGGAGCACCGTGCACTTAGAGGGGGGAAAAGTTTCATCTTTATTTTCCTGGAATTGGTTTCCTTTGTAACCCGGTGGATTTGTTTCATGCATCTAAAATTATTCTGAGAAATCCGTGAGCTTCACCACACTGCCTGAGGAGTCCAGGATACACACATACACACCCCTCTGAATCTGGGGGCCCGGGATACACACACACACCTGCCTGATTGTAGGAGTCTTAAGATACACACACAGATTCTAGGGGTCCAGGATACACACACTTCCCTCTGAATCTAGGGTTCCAGGATACGAACACACCCCTGATTGTAGGAGTCCAGGATACAAACACACCTATCATAGGGGCCAAGGACATACACACACAGATTCTAGGGGCCTGGAATACATACAAACCCCTGATTCTAGGGGTCCAAGACACACACACACACACACACACTCTTATTCTAGTCTAACACTCTCATTTTCCAGTTGAAATTGAGATCTAGTGGTGGAGGTAGGATTAGAACCCAGATCCTCCACCTAAATGCATCTCTCTTTCCTAATGCACCTGGCCCCACTCAGTACAATAGTAATTACACCTGTCTGTCTATAGTTCTTTGAAGTCTTTGTACAATCATCCTGTGAGCTGGAGAGTGATGTGTATTTTCATGGAGTGTGAAGCTTTTGTAGGATTTAAAGGTGGAAGGGACCCTGTGGATCTAGTCCACAGTCCCTCTCCTCCATTTTAAGGCATTAGGCACCAGAGGCTATGCCCGAAGTCATGGGAGCTCCTGCTATGCCAGGCCAGCTACCACTGTGTGCAGAAGACCTTTGGGATTACAAAGCATCCTTCCAAACTTTGGGGATGGGGTCCAGGCCTAAGGAGGGGTGGCATGTTAGTGTGGAAGATGGCTGGGATGGGAGTCAGGGGCCCTGGGCTCACTAGCTTTGCCACATGGTACTTGTGTGACCTTAGACAAATCATTTCCCTTGTTTTAGTTTCCTCGTCCGTTAAATGGGAGAGTTGGGCCAGATGACCTCTGTGGAAATGCATGAAATCACAGGAATCAGGGCTGCCTATACACTGCGGGTAGACATGTGCCAAAGTCTGAGTAAATAGGGGACTCCAGAAAGCCCCAGCACCTTGGCAGACCCTGGGGAGGCCCATTCTGCCAATGGTAGTTTGGGATTCCTAAAGGGAAAAAAAGCATGATGTTTCCCTTTATTTAGGCCTTTCTGTCTCCTTAACCTACACAGAACTATGGTAGAATGTTAGAGTTGGAAGGGCTTGGAACATAGATTGTGACAGCCAAAACAGACCTTAGAACTTAGAACATGGAAGGTCAGAGCTGGGAAGGACCTTACAACACAAAATAATAGAGATGGAAAGGCAGTTAGGACCTAGAATGTCAAGAACTGGGAGGGCCCTCAGGACACAGAATGTCAGAGCTGGGAGGGCCCTTAGAACACAGAATATCAAGAGCTAGGGTGGGTCATAGAACACAAAATGTCAGAGCTGGAAGAGAACTTAGACCAGGAGTTCTCAAAGTGTGGTCCTGAGACCCTTTCCTGTGTGGTCACATGATAACACTAAGATGTTTTCATTTCTAACATGGCAAATATGAATAGAACCCACAGAAACAAAAGTTTGACCATTTTTAAGAGTGTAAAGGGGTCGGTCCTGAGACCAGAAATGTTGAGAACCACTGTCTTAGGCAGTAAACTATCAGAGCTGGGAATGACTTTAGACCATTGAATGTTAGCGATGGAGGTGACTTTGCAGACCATCCAGTCTAACTCCCTTACTTACAGATGAGGAAACTGAGTCCAGAAAGAAGACTTTTGCCCTAGATCACACACCCAGGTAAAGTCAGCGACCAGGAATCTCAGCCTTCCGCCTCTCTCTGTCACTGTGAGAAAAGAGGTTTTTCCAAGAAGATGGCACCTTCTAGATATCAACGATGGTAACAAATGAAATTACCACAGTTTACTAAAAACAGCAATAAATCCTTTATTCAAAATTGGTGAAACAAAAAAAATCTGAGATGAACAATGTAAGAAAGTACCCCCAGAGTGCCTCCCAGAACCACGGAGCCAGTCATGTCTGCAAGCGAAACCGGTGCAATGACTCAGGCCCCCACATAGCATCCATGCTCTTCTAACAGCAGGGTGCTGCCCCATCAGGATCCCCTCCTATCTTTTGTTCCCCCTTTCAGGTGAATCTGAATGTTCCCTGAGAATTCCGGGAGATAGGTAAGCCTTTAAGCTCCTATAGGATTTCTCATGGTAGAACACTTTACTCTGGGACAGACTGTGGGGAGAGAGCATATTTGGTGGGGCAAAACCCTGCCAAGATGCTCTTTAATGCATTGCCTCACTGCCCCCAGGGTCACAGAAACCCACAAATATTCCTTCCCTTTCCTTCCTCCTCCCGGGCAAGAGAACTCCTCTGAGCTGCTGAAATCAGAACTGGCTGGAGGGGATAGAGGGGAGACAGGGAAGGGTTACCCACATGTCCCTACTTTCCCTTTCCCCTTTCTTCCTTTCCCTGACCTGAACACTGGGGGAAACATCTTCCTATTTTCTATGATGGGGACAGAACTCTGGCTTTACTTACCCAATCCTGGGTAACCTTCCTATCTGGTAACCCCAACCCTGCCCCCTTTCTCTCTCCTTCACCTTCACTGTCCCATGGCCAAGGTTCAAGGACCAGCCCCAGAGACAGCCCAGCCTGAATAATCTCTGAGCCCAGGTTTCTCCCTTTGGCCTCATGGAAGAGACACAATCCCTGCCTTCTGGACACTGTAAACTTTCCTAGGTAAACTTGAGGGCAGACACTGATACCTCTGTGTAAGGTCCAGCACAAAGAAAGGGGTCAGAAAATGTTTGTTAAATGAATAAATGATGAGGAAAAGATAGCCTGGCCCTTAGAGGAGCACTCCCCTATATTTGATGGGGCAGATATAGTCCTTGTCTTGGGAGAAGGGGGTTGGGGTGGAGAATCATTTTTCAATTCATTAGGTGAGTGTCTGGCAGGGCAAGATCCAAGTCCTATATGATGCTGGGCAAAGAAAAATAGGCAAGACCAGCTTCTCAACTGGGATGGTCATGCTGGCGACAATGTGGAAACAGCAATAGTGACCCAAGCATGGGGGGGGGGGGTCCTGGACCCAGCTGGAAAGTCGACCCCCACCCTTCCCAGTGTCCCCTCCTCAAATCTGAGTGAGTCCTGTGCCAGAAGGTGGTCCGCAGGAGGAAGTCATGACCAAGCAGGCCCCCTGGATCCCTGATCCTCTGAGCTCACCACAGATCCAAGTGCCAGCTAACAATCTGCTTTGCTGGGGATGGTCCAAGCCCAGACCAGGCAGGGTGCTGGGGCGTGGGCTCAGTCTTGTGAAAGTTTCACAGAACTGGCCAAGAGGAGTCCAGCTTTGGAGCCTTCAACTTCAGGGACACCATCCTGGGGAGAGGGAATTTTGATGAACCTTGGTTCCTGCCACCCACCTCCCAAGTCCATTGGTTTCTGATCGTCCCTCTGGGCCCGGAAGCCAGGAGAGTAAGCTGACACCCCGGCCAGCCCCTGCTCTCCCCAATTCACACACATAACCAGGAACCCCTCAGAAAGTTCCAGGAGAATCCCGGTGCATCTCATTTCCGCCAGTAAAACTCCCTTACCCAGTGGCTTACCCAGCTTTGCTCCTCCTGAGCACATGGAGCCATGCTCACTTCTGCCTGGGAGAAGGTGGGAGGGGATCGGGTGTCCTCAATCTGGCTGTCTGTCAAGGACGTGGTTCTTTTTGATTTACCCTGGGGCTGGCTGGGAAGGGGGATCTGTGGATGTGTGGAAGGACAGGAGTCGGTGAGAGTTCCCGGAGCGTACCCTACCCCCTCACCCTCATCAATGGGGAGATGCGTGAAGCCTGTGGATGAAAGAGGCCAGGCCCTCCCATCCTCCGAACTTGTGTCTCCAACCCTGTTGGCACATATCATCAATAGCCACGCCAGAACCTGGATCCCCTTATCCCCAACACTCCCTAGGCCCCTGAGCCCAACTCCAAAACGCTCAAATCCTCAGTCACTCCTGTGCCCTCACCCCACACTCTCAACACCATAACCCCAACTTCAACAATCTATCCTCAGCCCAAAAACAGAATGACAGAATTTAGATTTGGAATGATAGTAACAGCTGACATTTTTTTTTTTTTGGTGAGGCAATCAAGGTTAAGTGACTTGCCCAGGGTCACACAGCTAGTGAGTGTTGTGTGTCTGAGGGCACATTTGAACTCAGGTCCTCCTGACTCCAGGGCTAGGGCTGTAACCACTGCGCCACCTAGCTGCCCCACAGCTGACATTTCTATACTCCTTTAAGGTTTGCATTTCATCCTCATCACAGCCCTGTGAAGTAAGTGCTTATTATCTCTGTCTTACTGATGGGGAAACCAAGGCTCAGTGCCTTTAAATTGCCCAGGAAGTGTCTGAGGCAGATGGAGGGCTTGATGCATCACATCAAGCTGCCTCTGATGGAACAGACCTCATCGGCCACCTAGTTCAATCCACAGCCCCAGAAGCATCCCCACCA